GTTGGACAGGTGTACCTAATAAAGTGGCCAGTATGAATATAATATACAAGTTTCACTTTTTAAATGGAATTACTGAAATAAATCTACTTTTTCATGATATTCTAATTTTATGACCAGCACCTGTAGTGAAGACTTATCTGATGCAGCCCACAAATGTTGACTGATCCTGCTCTGCTCACTCTGTCCCAAGAGGCACTGAGGCCGACTGGGTTATGGTTTTATTTTTTATTTTTTGCTTGTAATGGTGTGTGAAACGAGAGAAATAAAAATCTGGCAGTATAAAAACTGAAAGTTGAAAGCGGTTGTATTGTTTTTTTTTCTTTTTTTTAAACCACTTCAGTAGAAAGTAGTACTAAATATGTGAATATTAGTATCTTAGCTTCGCCATCATCAGTGTTTTTTTTAGATAAGAAAAGACGAAATAAAGGAAAAAAGAAGGAAAGAAAAGTTACAACGTAATGGAAAAAAGTGAAAGAAAGAATTGATGATATGTGAGATATACGTCAAGAAAACAATACAATCCATCCAACATCTGTCTGCACACCTGCAAAGAATTAAGGTTATAAAACTTAGCAAAAGCGTACATATATACATTTAGACAGATGAACAAACACCCACCTGTATATACCTGGTGATCATTCAGAACCCCTCGGATCTGAACACCTGTCTGCGTGCGGTTGTGAACAAGCTTAAATTTACAGGATTTCTCCAACAGAATGTGTAATAGTGACTGTGGGGGAGTCCCAGAGCCGACCCCCAAGGCACGAGGCAGACATAAGGGGAGGCCAGAGCCAAAGACCCCAGGAGGAACCCCAAGCACCGGGCCCCCAGGTACACCTACGCGAGGAGAGCTGCACACCCACCCCCAGGTCAAACCATAGGGGAGATCATGGAGAACCCCACCAGCGACCACACACAGCAGCCCCACAGCGGCCCGCAGCGACGAGCACGCAGATCCCCGCCGGCCCCCGCTGCGCTAGGGCAAGCACGGGCACAGGCACAGACAGCCCGGCCCCCAGGGCGCACCACCCCCAAGCCGAGAGCTGACAGGGCCAGAGGACCCAAGCCCCGACAGGCAGCCACCAGGCCCAACCAGCACACACCCGAGCACCCAGACCCAGACCCCAAGAGCCATCCGCCGGCGGGCAAGGCACCCCCACCAGAGGGCGGTAGGGATGGGGGTGACAAACGAACCAGGGGAGGGGGAAGTCCACGTCCCAGCCTGACACATACCCACGCATACACAAACACAATCATACAATCCCACCATCATCCTCACACCCACTCATTCAAAGACATACAATATAGACACCACACTCCATTCACACTCCCGATACACACTCTATACCCCCCAGGACCAGGCATGCCACCGCCCCCTGCAGAGGGCGGCCCACACCCGAACCTGGGAGGTAAACCCATTTGTTCTGGGGCAGAGAGGAGCAGATGGCCAAGCCCTGGCCTGGACCGTGCCGACCCGATCGGCCGCCCCAGCAAGGCCATGCGCCGACTATCCCCCAACCACCTCCAACGGCCATGGGTACACCCCCAGCCGACACCCACTGGAACCCAGCAACCACCCCGGCCAGCGGGCCGACCACGCCAACCAGGAGCCACATCCCCGGAGTCCATGCAGCTCCAGAGAAGCCAGAGTGCAAGCTCAACCCCCTGCACCCCCCAAGCTCCCAGTCCACCATCAGTGCAGGCCCCTACCAGTGCCCCACCCCCAGACGTCAGTCGGGAAACGGGGGAGTGAGAAATAAATAAATAAAAGACCCTGACACACATACACCCACTCTCAAATGTGCTATTGATGCATGTTGTTCTATAGTGTAGTTAAAAGGAGAGGAAGAAGGGGCAGAGGCTGGAGGGGTGCCAGTTTTCCCCCCACCCCAACCCCTAAGTGTCTACGTGCAGCTATTGGGGGAGGGCACAGATACCGGTGATTGTGTTGTTAATGTTTTTGTCATTTGTATTTACTTGTTCTTTAATACTGTCAGAAATCAAACGAGCAGGTATGGCAAAATAAACGAGCACATCCACAGAGTCCATTATTTCTTCGAATATTTCCTTTGAGCAAATGTTAATTAATGATATAAATAATACCAATATTATTTTTCTCATTGTGATCTCATTTCTATTTAGCATTGTCATGGTTGCAAGGCAACAGGACGTACGCCCCAGGGTAAGGGTGGGAATAAAGTTGGAGGCTAGACCGTCCAAATTCACCATTACTTTTTTCTGGTCTTTGCGGTTGGACAAGGACCCGGCCCATCTCGACTGGGTAGGCTCGGTTCTATAAGGACCCAGCCCCTGAATTTGGACACAGCCTGTAAGATCTAAAAGAAGCTGCAGACACACCTGAGCTGAGGTCCATGTTCATGTAGTCCTCCTGAGCTGGGCTGGTCTGGACCACCTGCTGCACCAACACTGCTGGAGTGAGACAGAAAGACAGATGAGACGTTCTCAGACACCAACAGGAGACATGTTCCTCATAGAGTCACACCTGAAGGTCTCACCTTCAGCTCTCCTGGGTTTCTTCATGTGACAGGCCTCTTTAACAGGAAGCTGCCTTTTCCTGTAGACCAGACCCTGACCACAGGGGGCACCACCACAGTCCCCGTTCTGGTCCGAGTTCAGCTGGAGCCCCCTGAGCTGCTGCAGGCCAGTCCGAGCGCTGGAGATGAAGCAGAAACACTCATGGAAGCCATGAGCATGAGCCAGGTCTGCTGCTGTCTGCCCACTGGAGTTCTTTAAACTGAAGGAGTGAGAGAGAGTGAGACATG